GACACGCAGTTGTAACAGTTCAAAGACAGCCACCACTTTCACCAACGCGCACCAACATCCAGCATCAATTTTGTCTCGACCACCTTTCATCCCACACATTACATCACACCCATCAGCCTTCAGCACCCCATCACGCCATCAACACGCCATCAACACGCCATCAGAGGTGCCCACCCGATGAGGCCGGCAGAGTCGATGCCGACGTAGCAGAGCGACGCGTCCTCCCTCGCCAGCACAGACCCGGCCAGCGACACCAGCGATGCAAGGGCATCCGTCGCGTGGTGCGCCTGGACGGTGGTGGTGGGTGGTAACGGTGGTAAGAATGATGATGGCAGTGGTGGAGATTACATGTGCAGGTGAGTTGATGGATTGCAGTTGTGGAAGCAAGCACACGCCTGTATACATGCACGCACACGCACACAAAGCATGCACACACACACACGCATCTACACACACACACATGCAACGCTTGAGTGCAGTGCACACCTGTCTGGCTGTACGTTCGAAGAGCACAATTGCCTCCGTTGGCGTTTGGATGGGCAGCGAGGCCGGGGTGGTGGTGATCTGGTGGTGGTGGTGAAGTGAGAGAGAGAGTGAGAGAGGAGGAGAGACACAGAGGGGAGGTGTTGAGGTTAATGACAAGCATTATGAAGCACCAACCGCACTTGGTCCGGCAGGATGCTGACATCAACGGACAGCGCAGCAATGGGAACGGCATCACACACGCACATGACACATGTACACACACGCACACCCACCCACATGAGACACACACATACCCATATCCACACCACCACCACCACCACCACCCTCATCACGAGCATCACCTTTGCGATGACGGATCTGAGGGCCGGAAGGAAGATTGCGTCAAGGAGAACCTTCGTGGCACTTCCGCCCTTCATGCGGCTCGACCCTGTATTGGAGGTGAGGAGCAACCATGGTCGCGTTGATGGTGGTGATGGACGATGATGATTGTTTCGTGGTGGTGCATTGTGCTGGAATGCCATCGCAACGGCGCAAAGCTGTTCACAACACCATGCACAGAAGCACAAGCCATAAATACACAAACACATGCACAAACACATGCACAGAAGCATGCACACACACATGCACGCACACACCCACACACCCACACACACACACACACATACACACGCACACATGCACGCACACATATACACACACACATGCATAAACACAATTCCACACATGCATAAACACACACATCCACACCTGTGAGCGCTTCGGGTCCAACGATTGGATTGAGGATCCAGTGGCGGTGGTCATCCTCTTCGTCAGCGAGACTTTCCAATTCAAGAAAGACGTCTTTGCACGTTCTTTCCCAATTCTCCACATGCGCATCGCGTGCCAGGTGCACGGGGTTGAAGCCAATCAGGCTCGTCACAAACGACTCCTACCGTGTGTGTGTGTGTGTGTACATATGTGTGTGCATGTGTGAGTGTGTGAGAGAGGAGAGAGAGTAAATGGACGTGCGTGCGTGTGTGCATAGATCAATGCGGGCATGCATTCGTCTTCGTACATTGGGTTGCACCCAATGACGCAGCTGCACACACACGCGCGCGCGCGCGCACGCACACACACACACACACACACAGACACACACAGACACACACAGACACACACAGACACACACAGACACACACAGACACACACAGACACACACAGGCACACACAGACACACACACACACACAGACACACACACACACACACAAAAGAGCCAACTGCCGCCCCACCATGTGCATGGCTGCCTCGATCTGCCCCGCCACGTACGGGGCACTAAGACCGCACGTGACACCAAAGAACATCACGCCGTCGCAGTCCTCCGTCACGGACAACAGGTCCGCAGCACCCTGGTGGCAGCCGCGTTGGATATGATGGGGATGTGATGGGGGATGTGGGCAAAAGGAGAGAGGACAAGAGGTGAAGGTGGTGGCAAAGCTGAGACATTAGAGCGGGTTGAGAGATGGATAAGGAAGGGAGGCACACGGCCAGACATGCATGCAGTTGCATGAACACGAACGCACACAAAACCACACATGCAAACTCACACACACACACACACACACACGCACGCACGCACACAGATTCACACACATGCAAACACACACACATGCAAACACACACACACACACACACACACACACACACACACACACACGCACACACGCACGCACGCACGCACGCACGCACACGCACGCACGCACGCACGCACACATGCAAACGCACGCACATACACACCCAACAACAACCTGGCTCGGGTCGTCCTCGGGGAGCTCGTTGCTGATGACGAGCGACTGGTCACCGCCAGATATGCAGTAGCGGAAGCAGCGCTGCAGCTCCGGGTGGAACTGGTGCAGAATTCTGCAGGCACAGCACAAACAGAGTGCAACGGAGGACAACATGAGTTGGAGAGAAAGGGGGGGGGGGGTTTCAGAAGCAAAGGTTTGGTACTGAGGGTCAACAAGACACGAGGACGTGCAAGCATGTAAGAGCACGTGGACATGTGCGCGCAGACACACTCGCACACAGACAGACACGCACACACAAACACACTCGCACACACACACACGCACGCACACACACACACACACACACACACACACACACACACACACACACACACACACACACACACACACACGAACGCGCGTGTGTACCGGTTGTACGATCGGGCGCAGAGCCAGGCGATCCGGCCTGAGGTGCCGCAGCCGCTGAAGACGAAGACGTTCTTCTCGCCCTTGACGATGTTGTCAAGCAAGCGCTCCTCAGCCATGTTGCGCAGCTCGCTCAGCCCTGACGGCAGTGGACCGATGGAGCAACGAGGAGTAGGCACGCATGGGTGTCGTGAATTGAGGAAACAGAAAGAAGGAGAGAGAGAGATAGTGTGTGTATGTATGTATGTATGTATGTATGTATGTATGTATGTATGTATGTATGTGTATGTATGTGTGTGTATGTATGCGTGTGTGTGTGTGTGTGCGTTCGTGAGGGACAAGCCATCGTATACACACGCACACACACACACACACATGCACACACACATGCACACGAACGCACACACATACGCACTGGAGACAATCTCCTGGTCGTAGATGGCTGGGTGGTGCCGCCATCCCGTGAAGATCTGCTGATCAGCCTGGCGAATGATGCGCGCGATCCCAGTGGGGCCTGTGCACACAAGCAGCACCACGCAGCGTGATGCACGCACCCACGTCACCAGTGCAACGACAGTGGAGATCCGGCGTGCGTGCCAGATGCACAACCAAGCGGGCCATCAACACCACACACCCGCTGGATCAGCTGCCCACCGAATCACTCGCCAACACGCACACACCATCTTCCCGACTCACCGACGGCGTCGAGGTTGTTGGAGAGCTCATTTGCCAGCTCCGTGATGCGCACCTCCTCCATCATCACCAGCGCTACCTGTGCGTGCGTGCGTGCGTGTGGTGTGTGTTTGCGTTTGTTTCTGCTTGTTGCTTGTTGTTCATTCATTGTCCACACACCCAACACAGAACACAAACAATACAGTCAGCAAGAAGCCACAAGCAACCGTGATGTGCAGCCGTGGCAGCACGCCCATGCTGCTGCTGCTGCTTCGGGTGTGCGCACGGCGTGGCGTGCCCTCTGCTGCAGTGCAGTCGCAGGCGCAACCCATCCTGCCCCGTCGCGCCACAGCATGGTGCCAGCGTCGCTTCTCTTCATCAGACACCACCACCACCACCACCACCACTGCTGGCACACCAGCGGTCGCCGCAGCGAAGAGCGACAACCGGACAAGCACCGCTGCGACTGCTTCAGCAGACGCAACATGCAGCACAAGCAAGGCGCCCGCAGACACCACCGCACCACCATCAACATCAACACCATCATCAGTGGACGCTGGGACGGGCGCTGCACCACCGCCGTCAGCATCCGACCTGAAGCCGCCGGCGATGACGGAGGACCCGATGGCCGAGCTGGACGCGAACATCGTCGAGCATCTCCACGAGGGCATCCTCTGGTTCTCCAACCTGTTTCCCGTGCAGCACGGCCGGTGGGACGTGCGGCATGTCATCTACGAGAAGCGCGATGTCACCAAGACCCTGGACCGTCTCATTGACAAGATGCAGTCCAAGCATGCCATCAGCATCAGACAGTGCGTTGCGTGAGCGTGCGTGTATGTGTGTGTGTGTGTGTGCATGTGCGCACTCTTTGTGTGTGTGTGTGTGTGTGTGTGTGTGTGTGTGTGTGTGTGTGTGCATGTGCGCACTCTTTGTGTGTGTGTGTGTGTGTGTGTGTCTATTGGTGTGTCCTTGCCGCTCCCTGCTATTCCCTCACTCACACACACTCCCCCCCCCCCTCACCCACCCACTCAAACCCAATCTCCAGGGTCATCCCCAAGTTTGAGGAGGGAGGTGCGTTCGTTGCATTTGCGTCCACGGCATTTGACGCAAAGGAGACGGCAGACATCATCACGCGCCACCTGAAGAAGCGGCGGCCAAAGTCACTGCTGGTCAAGGAGCCGATACGAGCGTCCCTCGTCAAGGGCAAGCCGTTCATTCACGATATGGTGTCGTTCCCCTCCAAGCGCATCCACGTCACCTTCAGAGGCGACCCTCTCCCGCTGGAGGAGCTCTACTCGGTGCTGCGGCCATATGGGCAGCTGCTCTCGCTCGAGTACACCAAGTCCACCATGCCCCGCTTCGCCGTCGCCGCACACGCCGACCACCCGACAACCACGCTCCCAACATCCTCATCCTCATCCTCATCCTCATCCTCATCGTCGTCATCGTCACAGCCCCACGACACCGCGCGTGGCGTGTCACAGCGGCAGCAGCAGCAGCAGCAGCACATGTCTACACTCGACAGCGGCATTGCAGCCATTGCCACGTACAACAAGATCCACGGAGCCATTGGCGCGCGCAACTGCGTCCACGGTACGCTGGTGCACGGCACGCGACTCAACATCGGATATGAGGCGGCGGCCCGTTCATCC